ATTGATTATTCGGACTGGTTGCGTGTTATGAGAATTCGACTTCTGATTCCTCGTCACTTGCTCCATTGGTCGGTTTTGTTCCACCGCTGGGCCTTGAATATAACTTGCGAACTCCCCTCTGGCTATCAGCATCTCTACCTGTCTCCTTAGGTTCCTGCATTCGTTAGTCTGATGGCCAAAGTCAGAATGAAATGCACAGTGCTTAGACTGATCCCTGTGTTCGAGGGGTTGTCTGATTGGTAAAGGAGGTCGGAACCTATCTTTATTTTCTTGGTACAGTCTTGCTAAGGTAACTTTCAATGGAGTAACCAGCTCTTCCTCTCTGGGCCTCTTCTCAGATTTCCACGAGGAGCGCTGCGGCTGAACTTGCTTTTGCCTGATCTTTGCTTTGGTCTTTTCCTCCGTGGATATGACGGATGTCTTCCGAGCGTTTGCTGCCTCTTCTTCTTCCAATCGCACAAATCCATCGACTCTTTCATTAAGTTCATCCATAGTTTTCGGCGTATTCACCACCAAGCTTGTGTGGAATGGAGTGCCACGAGTCATGGCCAGTATAAATGCTTGAACTGCCGTTGAAGGGTGACATTCAATCACCATGCTCTTGGTAAGGTTAAACCTGGTTAGGAAAGCTTGGAGACGCTCATCATCATGCTGCTTCATTGTGAATAGGCTCGAAATGTCATTCGCTGGACGCTTATTTCCATAATATTGGCTTATGAACCGATCACACAAGCTTCGGAAACTATCCACTGAGCCCCTCAGCAGGTTCTTGAACCAATTGAGAGCTGGTCCAACTAGACTGGTAGGAAAGCACTTGCACATCAAAGAGTCATTCTCAGTGTTCAGAGCCATTTTCAACTGGATGTGATACACATGATCGATCGGATCGGTCGTTCCGTCGAACAGAATGAAAACGGGCATGGAAAATTTCCTCGGACTCGGAGCATTCAGAATCTCATCGGTGAACGGTGAATCAACCGTTCGAGCTGCTGAACGGAGTGCTTCATTTTCCCTCTAGAACCCCGCGGTTGCTCTCTGGTCTACAGATCTCCTCTCTGAGCCGTGATAGTCAAACGTCGCCATGGAAGGCCGATAAGTTGGATCGAATGATCTGTCCTCAACAAAATCTCTGCGCCATGGAGGCATAGCTTTGTGACGATCCAACTCTATTGCTTCACCTCGGCTGAGCGTTTCTTGATGTGGATCAAAAGTCATTGCTTCGTTTCGCCTGATCTGCTCACGCCGTGGATCTACGTGAGTCGATCCTTCACGATCATCAACACGACGAAGATTTGGCGGCAAACCGTTTGGCCGGATTTCCTCGCGGTGAGGATCTATCAGATTGTTTCCGACCTCCTCGCCGTGATGTGCCGCATCGGTACGTGCACCTTCTTCTCCTACCGGGAGCGGTCGCGGAATTACTGGAGCTTCTTGACGCTACATTTCAGTCCTTAGATCCGCATTTTCTCTCCGGAAAGCTTCGATCATGCTCATCAACTCATCAAGTTTCACCTGCTGGACGTTCTTTACCGTATTGGAGTTCTCACCCCCTATCATGATTCCGGATCGAAGCAAAGGCATGAATTACGAACTCCGAAACAGATCTAAGCGTCACCGATGCAAATTCCGTTAGATCTGGGCTCAACTTCACCAAATCGTGGTCACCGTGTGCTAGATCTGAGCTTTTCTAGCTTTGAACTCACCGGATCTGACTGCAATTGAACAAATCACAGTTGTGTCATTCCGAAGCAAATGCCTCAGAATCGACAATAAGCAAGAATTCTCTCTGAACAAACTACAATCTCACTGATCTGGATTCAACTTCCAGAAATCAAACTGTGTGCTCACAAACTTGATTGAAGTAACATGATACTGATCAGGCTCGAATCGATCTTCTTCGTCGTTCCCACAGACGGCGCCAATTGAAGATGCAAGAAATTCATTCTCCTTTCTCTCTCTAGAATTCTTACACTTCAATAGAAAAATCACCTCCTCCCAAAAAATATCCCCTTTTTATCCACCTGTAATGGTCTATTTATTGACCATTACAAATATTCTAACTAACTGATTACATAGGGCTCCTATTCAAGGGTTTTCTTCCTTTTGGGCCTGACTTTCCAATGGGCTTGATCTTCTTCAGTGGATCCTCCAAGCTCGGCCCATTCCGTGGTGCTTTTGCAATTGTTTGACCCGATCGCATGCCAGCGAGCTATAACCGGCCCATGCCACTTATTGCATCCTCAATGGAGTTAAGCGCAAAGGTCAATTTTAACTTCTCTATCAACCATTGTTGTAACCCAAAACAAGATCTACCAACATACTTTAAAAATTAAGATAGATCTAATCATATCAAGTGAAAAACTGAAAGTGACTTCAAAGAAGAAAAGGAAAACTACGAAAAAGATGAAGTGTCCCAAAGAAGTACTTCTATTATAGTTTACCTCTATATTAGTATAGTAACTCTACAGTAAAAATTTACAAAATGCAGTTACAAAATGCTACTGAACATGCAAGCAGTGACGGACCCAGAAAATTGATTGAGAGGGGGCGGCTTTGAACAACAAGAATATATAGTGGGGTATTATCAAAATTTGAGTGCGGTTTTATGATTTTAACAAAAAAAAGTATAGGTAATTTTGTAAATAAAAAAGATTTCAGTGGGGGCGGCCGCCCCACTGGTCTCATAATAGGTCTATCCCTCCATGCAAGAATACATGACAACAAAAAGGAACTACAACTAATTGCTGCTTGAAAATCCTGACTGCTCTTAAGCAAAATGCAAGAGAAGAATATAACTTAAATCTCTAAGACCCACTAAGATTCCAACTTGAATCCTCTTGATCCCAGGGTTTTTGGCACGTAATTGAAGCACAAGCATGAGAAGCAAATCAACCTCCACAGCTTCTGAGATTAAGAACTAGGTACGGTTTAGATCTAAATTCAACAAACTGTCTATCCATAGTAAGATCCTTGGAAATTTCTCCATTCCAAAAGCCATGACAAAAAGTATAACTATCAAAAGTAACAGAAAGGAAAAGAGAACTGAACAAGGCACCAACTATACACCTCTATAAAGAACAAAAAGGATCCGCTTATCTACAACATCCCAACAGATCTCAAGTGAATTCACTCTTTTTCTTTTTTCTCTTGTTGACTAGTGTGGATATTATGGTGGTTATGAAGACGGAGGTAATACGCAGAATGATGGAGAACCTAAAGATTGAGTTTGGTGAAAATCCGAGGGAACTTTAAGAGAGAGAAGGAGAGAGTGGCACTAATGGAGAGAGCCATGAGAAAAATAAAGAGAATCCAAATATCATTGCTGTCCTCACTCTCTTCTAGTGACGTTTCAAACGTTCTTTCAAACTGAAAATAGGTTAGGGCTCCTATACTATTTATAGGAGTGTGGGAGGAATAAACTGCTGTTTATATCAAGCATATACCAGAAAACATAGCTAAATAAAAATGTTACCAAATCATAGCAGAAAATTCAAGGGGAGTGGAGCATGGCAAGCATGTGAAGAACGTGTGCCTAACAAGACACATGGTGTCCCACTGTAAAAATGACCAAGGTATAAACCTCAAAGAAAATACAACAAGCTTTCATCTTCAGACCAAGCCACAAATCACTAAAATTCTAGAATCAGCTACACTCCAAATCCTGAGATCACACAACGATTGTGCACCAAACTCAATGAACTCTGATAATGTTCTCTATCCAAGACATCCTATGCAAAGCAAACAACAGAACCCATGTCTCCATCACTGCCCTACAACAGATAAGATATGATTCTTCACTGAATTTTTATCACCTTGCACTTACATCCCCAGTTAAAAATTTTACCTCAGCTCAACAAAATATCCATTCTAAGGATGTTGCAATGAGTTGCCTTTTCTGTGAAAAAAATCCACCTTGGAAGGTAATTTGGTGTTCCATATACGTTACAAGGAAAGCAAACCTCTAAAAAACCACTAAGAACCTTATAGTGATTAGTGACTTAACATCAAATCTTTTTAATCGCAAAGCTCTCATCTCACTTCATCTGCCTCCTCTCAAGCCCTCCACTTTATACAAGATTTCCCGCAATTCAACCATTGCTTCTATCTCATATTCATGCACTGACCTCCTAAATCTGCCATCCCAATTCATTCCATCTCCCGACCATGCACAGTCGTCTGTCACCACATAAATTCCTCACAGGATGTAGTCACCATCCACTAATTGTCCACAATCTATGTTGTATTCCAAATCCATTTTACCCAAGATATTGAAACAAAATCCTTCTATGAAAATGAAACTGATCATATCCCTTCATCATGCCAATCTCATGATCAGCTGCACTGCTCTATTCACGAATCACGTATACAACCATCTGGAATCAATCCCCTAGTTCATGTCACGTACGTAATCTAGACACCATAAAATGCTCATCTTGCACCAACTTTTATCAAAGTACCTTGTGGATGTGAAAATATGACTAGGATAACCATCTTCGACCACTCTCACAATCAGCTAAAAAAAAAAAGTTACTGACAAACTTGAGAAGCAATCAAAACTCTAATAAAAACAGCTCGTCCAAATTGCTCGATTCTATTGGTTGATTTGAGAATAAATTGTAACAAGAAAAAGGTCTATAGACAGCAGACCAATAACTCGAGTAGACCACACTCAGAACAATGAACACCACTTCAGCACAATGAAGTGAAACATAAGATTTTAACAACAAACATGCTTCAAAGTTATCCTCAACTCCAAAAAAAGAACATAAATTCAAATTTTGCAAACTAATCTAAAGAAAATTTCAGACCTATAAGCCCCAACATAGTAGGAAAATAACTCCTTTATACATAAACAACACTAAGAACGCATAAAACTGCCAAAACATCATCAAAAGCTCCAAAAACATGCTAAAAGGACAAATTTTTACAAAATCCAATAACCCAATAACACAAAATGAACCAACTGAGTCCGCAAAACTTCAATAAGGAGAAAAATTTACCTTTGCCCGTCGAGATTCCCCTGCCCATTGCTCCCTCCACTCCCATACGACCCATCCTCCGCCGCCGTCTGCCACACCGACTGCCACGCCTGCGACGGCGGTTGCACGTACATCCCCGGATCCATCGCCGGTCGACCCATCATCACCCCCGGCGGCGCCGGATGACCCATCGGCGGATAATAATACGGCACCCCACTGGCCGTCGAACCCACCATCCCCAACCCCGCCTCGTCCTTGATCTCGTCTCTTGGCACAATGTCCACCAAGAAATCGAAGATATCGGTCCGGGTAATCGCCGCCGCGATGTCGTTCTTCTGGAGGGTCCGGCGCTTGTTCTCCTCGGCGTGAAGCCACGACCGGATTGTGAGCTCGAGGATGAAGAGCTCGCAGGCCTTGGCGAAGAGGATCGGAGCCTCGGCGGAGATCATGCGGACGTCCTCGTCGGCCTTCATGATCTTCTTGATGCGGGCGAGTGGGAGCTGGTGGTTTTTGAAGTCGTTGACTTGTTCGATTTCTTGGCGCTGGTAGTTCCAGAACATCTGGAGCTGTTGTTGTTGCTGTTGGAGGAGGTGGTGGTAAGGTGGCTGAGGAGGGTAGGGGGAGGACTGTGGGGGCTGCTGGTTGCTCTCCATTTGGATGGTTATTTTTCTGGGAAAGTGATTTGGGGTTTGGGTTTTTGTTTGTTTTGAGGGAAAATAAAAATAAAAATGGGGTGGGGATATTTGGGGGAGAAGGGATAAGGTACAACAGTAGTACCCATGCTACTTGTGTGTCTATGACTAGACACACAGTCACACACACATACTTGATCCTCTAACAAATTCTTTTTTGAAAAAATAATAATAATAATTAATTAATTAAAATAAATAAAATTGGATAAAGAAACAATATATTTATACTAATATATGGTTTTAGTTCATTGGTTGGTAACTTTTTGTTAAGCAAAAGTTTGCCTCGTAGAGGAAAACCTTACTAGCATGCACCATTTTCAAAACATAATCCTTATTTACATAAATATATTTAATAAAACTATCTTCTTTTTCTTATTAGCATATTACATTATTATTATTATTTCTAGATGATTTTAGAAACTTGAATAATACTCTCTCGAGTAGTATAATAGAGGAAAATTTAGCTATACCCAAAAATTGAGCTGAATGAGGTTTGATTTGGGCTAAACATAATTAATATTAGACTATTGTAATGTTTGGATTGATTTGGTCACATCTAAATTTGAACTTAAAATTTGAGGTTGGAATTCATTCAGTCACATTTTTGAATTTGAACCAAAAATTTGAGGTTGGAGGTGTAGGTTTAATGCTCCGTTCGGTAAGAAGGAAAAAAATTGAATGAAAGGTAGAGAAAAAAAGGATAACTGAGACATCCTGGAAGAGAAGCGTTTCTCTCTTTTTATTGAGTTAGATGGAAAAGAATGAAAAAACTGATAATTTAATTTGATAAGTAAGATAAAAAAAATATAAAATTTTAAATTGTTTTTACTATTAAACCCATCTCTTACTTTATTTATAGATTTATTAAATACTTATAAAGGATAATGTAGTAATTTAAAACTTCTATAATAGGTTCACTGCCCATATTCGGACGAATGAAAATTTGTGAAGCGAGAAAGATGACTCATCCTTCTTATTATCCTTTCTTTCCTTATATTATCTCCACCGAACTAACCTTCCTATTTTTCTTTCTCCCCTTTTCTTTCCTTCCTACCAACCATAACATTAAAAGTTTGAGTAAAAATTAAAATAATTCTAACTCTTAACATCACACCATTCCAATATTTTTGTCTTCAAAATTCCTTTGAAAAGTGAGTGCATTGAGAAACGTTGGACCAATTTTATTTACTTCTATTTTTGAAATATCCTTGATGCTTGTTTATAGTGTTGAACACAACTTTCAATAAACAGAATATGAGCCTGTGGACCACCTCATACATTCTATACCAGAAAATGATTTGTCTTCTATGAAAAAAATAAAAAAATAAAAAATCTTTAGAGTTGACTGTTCTTCTGAAAATAGCTTTTCATACTGTGCTTTGAAGAAAAAGAAAACTAGCATATTCAGTTGGATAATAGTGATTCATCCCATGTATTTCTGTATATTTTCCAAATATATTCAGTTTTGTGATGGACATCACAAAACTGAACTAACAGGTTGCAGCAAAAATTCCAGCCTGGATTCACATTTCTAGCCATCTGGGAGACAAAGAGAGGCTGGTTTGAAAATTAATATCAGCTGATGTATTGGTGAACTGCAAAACATGATCTCGGGTTTAGGTCTTTACAATCATGAACTCGGATTTAAGTCTTTAGGGAATTCCGTGCACCAGTGCAACACAGTTATATTGTACTGCAACGGAGCTATTTCACAACGCAAACACCTATGCAACAATATTAAAAAAGTTATGCAACACATTTATATCAAATATATAACACTCAATACAACATAATACATCATGTTAAACCGATATAACACCATTAGATTGAGAATGTAACACATTTACGTAGTTGTTACATTTATTGATTTAAAGTGACTACATTCACGATGTAAAATTGTTGAATTAGACACAGGACACTCAAACGACGAAAATGACATAGGAGGGGGCCCTGATTCCCCAACTCATCCAACCTATGCATCCGTACCTAACCGAAGAGCCACAACTCACCATCTCAACATCCACTGAAGAGCAAATCTTTCTATTTGGATACTGCACGGCCTCCTTATGTGGTCAGTTTCGAGTTGAAAAGATTTCAAGCACAATTTGAAGCCAAATTGCGTAACTTCTTTAATGGACTTTGTTTCTGCAAGCTCATCACTTTCCACTTCAAAAGCTTCTGCAACTTTTCCAACCACTGAAGATAACCCAGTTCAAAATGCTTCATCTACAATCAGTAAAAAAGAGTGCGTGATTAAAAGTATCATTTCAGATTAGACAATTGAACTAGGTTTGGCAACACATCATAAAGACAAAGTTGGGATCAATAATTCAAGCCTTTGCTGCAATCTGATAAGAATTGTCATAACAACCATCTCCGACGGGAATTTGTAGCGAACCTTTTGAATGAAGCAATTCACAAATGAGATGCAGAGTCAACACAAAGTTGAAAAGACTTCAAATATATGAAATAATGGTACAAGAGCTACCCAAGAAGCTATTCAAGTAATCACTTCTCATGTACTGAAGAAGATACGCCTTTTGAATCGAGCAATCACAATGAGATGCAGACTCAAAGCAAAGCTTGGAAAGACTTCAAACGTGAAATGATGCAGTTTTTTCTTTGGTCCTATGGGGAGCTAAAGCCCATGACAACGGAGGAAACAATCTCTCTGATACATCGGCTCTCAGCAGCCATATTACTGGCCTCTGGGTTTTGGCATGTCATGGACCTTCACTTCATATTGATAAATATAACTCAACTGGCTAGTTCGTCAGCTAAGAAATTACCTTCCCCGAAGAGTTGAAGAGACAATCCAGAGCTGTACAGATCAAGGTCTTGCATCAATGAAATAAGGCAGCCAAGTGATCCCATCCAAAATTTATTCCATTACAGCATCTAAGCATAATCTGATAGTCTGTTTCTACAACTATTTTCTTGAATCCACGTACCCAAGCTAACTATATACGCCATTACAAACGACCCAAAGCACTTGTCTGCAATAATATTTTGGATATGCAATAAGAGGATCATTAGCTTCAGTCAGACTTCATGTGTTGGTCAAATCAATACAATTGTTGTCAATAATTTAACTAAGAACCAGAAAGGGATTGATAAACTAGATATATTTCATATTTTCTCGAAAGTACAATGGTGGAAGCTACAAACACAAATTACAAAACCATTATCATGGCTAAATGTTATTTATAAATGATTTGGCTGGAGATTTGAAGCACACTCATGCATTCAAGCCTTCAAGGACACAAGTTCCAGTAAATCATATGTTGTCCAAAACAATAGAGAGACAAGAATTCCACCCTCATTTGCAGCACTCAACGTTATGGAACTTGGTCTCAAAAAAATAATAACTGAACAAATTGATAAAAACAATGTTCTTTGTAAATGATTTCCTTCTTCTCCTTCTTCTTCTTTTCTGTTACTGTTTTTTGGGAGAGGGAGGAACTTGCATCTAAACAAGTTGCTTCAGCTTTCTTTCTTTTAACGATATATTTCTATGGGTGATAAGAAATCTATACACCCATATGCCTATGCAAAAATCTATCTTTTGCCTCTCCTCGCACTTCAAGTGCGAGATCTTCCATAGAGTTGGGCATAAACACTTCTAGTCCGATAAACAACAATTGAACTCAGTACAACTGCAATGATGCAAAGCCCTGACAATATGGCACATGTGATGGAGTAGCATATGGTTCCCTCACAACTGAGTGACTCATCATCCCTTAAAGGCATTTTGAGCAGAGGCCCCAAAATTGTCTGCTTGAGAGAATCTTGTTTTGCTGCTTCATAGTCATATATACCACTAGCAATGACACCGGAGAAGATCAGAGAACCTACGGGACTTGCCAGGGTAAGGAAATTATACAAGGCACCAAAACTTTTCAGGCCAAACAGTTCAGAGACGGCAGCAGGCACAATTGCCCAATGTGCTCCATATCCAAGTCCTATCAACACGGTCACAACATAAATTGCCCCAGGCCAAGCCATTGCATAGAAGAAGAGCCCAATTGCCATAATGACCTGAACCACAGCCATGGTCACTGGCCTTGGGTAGGCATATTTCCTGATAAATAAAAAACCATAATCAGGATGAGAAACCAAGTAAAAAATTTAAACACACACACAAAAGGAAAAGGAAACTTTGTTGTGACTTGGGATAGAGAGGATTAAACCACACACTTTATGATTATCTCAGAGAAGTATCCACCACCAACTCGGCCAAGAAAGTTCCAAATACTAATCATGGATACAAACACCTGTGTATTGCTAAACCCCAGAGATTCACACATCTGACCCAGATTATCAATAACTGTCAAACCAGAACCAGAAGCCAGTACAAGGGAGGCAAAAATAAGCCAAAAATCTGCTTTTACTAATGCCTGCATTAATGTGAAATCCTCCCCTCTGCGTGGGCCTTTTCTCCGCTTGACCCTCACAGCTCCTTCTGCAGCAGCTTGAAACAGTTTAGCTTGCAAGTGGGCAATTCGTTTTTGTCTTTCTGATGATGGAAGTAAGTCTATGTCTGAGCCCTTCTCATCTTCAACCTCACTGAAGATAACCTCGTTCCCCTCCTGCTCAAAATTATTTGATTCTTGTTTCTGAGGCTCATTGAGAAGGCTCTCCTCTGTCGATGACCTTGGTTCCGCGAAAAAGACCAACAGAATAGGAATAATAATTGGAAGCAGTACTAGAACAATCAATACAATAGCACACAAGGTGACTAAAGTTTGGCTCAAACCAACTAGATCCTCAAGTAACAAAACCCCCAACACGTACGCTGCCAGAATGAGGCAAACAGTATAGACAAATAAGAAGCTTGATTGATCAGATGCTCTAACTTGTCTGTGACCACCCACTGGTCTAACAATGAACATAAGAGAAAAAACTACAATTGATGGCCCAACTGCAACCATAAAGATTAGTGATGCTTCATCGGGAGCATTGATCATAGCATAAATTTGAGTAATAATTGCACCACTCAAACCAGCAAATCCCTTCAGTATACCCACTACCGGACCACGGCTTTTGGGAAAGTTCTGCACGCAGGAAACTAGAGCTCCTGTATTGAAGTAGGTCTCCCCATTTGTTCCCACAAATATACAAATACATAGCTGCACATAAAAAAACTGAGTTAATATTATTAAGTAGTTCAAGAAACTCTTGAACTACTAAATTCATGGTGGGACTGATAAATAGTGCATAACAAATACATTTTCTGGCACATTCTAGAAACATGTAATGGTGGACACAATATTACTAAATTGAACCCCCGTAAGTACCGTTGGCAAGTGATTGACAATTTAATTATCAGTAAGGTGCTACATATTAAATAATTTATAGCTAGTAGATACTAGATATGGAATAAGAAAGAATCGAAGAAGAGAGGCTCTAAATTATCCAAGATACAGCGCAAAATATGAATTTGATGTTAAAAGACGATAGGTAATATACTTACAGATAAAACATCGCTACCATATAATATATTGATCTCCCTAGTCAAGGATAATAGAAATAGTATAATAGATCATGTACAAATCTATATTAATCACGCTAGTCGAGGATGAAAGATGTAGATCATGTACAACCTAACTATGTCTAGACGGTTTAATTATAAAATAAAAAAATAAAAAAAATTATATCCATATGCCATACCAATGAGAGGATGATATCAAATACATTAAATACAAATAGAATCTACTGCCACATTGCTCAGCTAGGTTTCTATATATATATATATATATATCAACACATATTCAAATGGGATTAGGGCAAGGGTATCAACAAACATTTTGTAAGTATGGAAAAGTAACATGAAAAGAATAAATTTCTGATCCAAGTTCAAACACTCAATTCAGTAGTGAGTGCTTTAAATCAATCAATAGAAGGTTTAAGATTTTGGTTGCTGCTGCTATGGAAGACTGAAGACTTCTTTTTTCCTAGTTGAAGACTGAAGACTTCCTTTGGACTTTAAATCTTGACTGATTATATGAGTATTTGTAATGATAATTCATGATTCTGTAGGTTATATATCTAATTTTTCACATTTTTCAATGTGGAAAACAACCTTATTTCTGCAATGTCGTGTGATTGGTTCAACATATGGTGCTGTAGTGGTGCATAATGTACCACAGTCATCATCATCTAAACTTACTGTTGCACCTAAAGAAATCATGGTCTTGGGTTTCCTAGCATCTCTTTAACATTTCAAGCGCTTTAAAATTATTTGTACAAACAACCAGAAAAACATTTAAATGAAAGATGGAGATTTAATGTGTCTGTGATGGCGTTCAGTCCTATATTTCATTTCATTAAAAACAACAGCATTCATTCTTGTTCGTACATTGAACTTCCTGTGATACAATTTTCTGGATTACTAAAACAACTGGGATTTGGCATGTTTGAAAATTGAAAGAATATGAGCAAATCTATTATAACTAGTCAGCATATTCTCGCTTTTGCATTGCAAGAGATCTTCAACATGACTTTGATATCAAGATATAAGATATCAATGAATCGCTTAATTAGGGTTCACAAAAATGAGCATTAATTTCCAGGGCAGCCGCCTAGAAGTCAAAGCTTCAATTAATGGATAAAGATTTTGAACCCTTCATTATCCACGCCTTTTCGGCTTTTTTCTCCCCCACACCATATCCCACCACACCAGCATTTGTGTCATCAGTTGGCTCTCTCATATCTTATCACCTATTGGAAGAAAATTTAGGTTCTACGAAATGTTGTCATTTGTCATTAAATTTTGTTACATTCTATCCATCTAATCATCCTCAAACAGATTACACAATTCTTGATTACCCAAAATTCTTTGCTTCTTCAAAAGCAAAGTACATTTTTAATGATCTTGTATTAAAAAGACATTACTATATCCAAGAAACGCTCAATACGTGGTCATTGAAAATACTTACCATGAAGATCTAGCGGAGTGAAACAATACTCAAATTTGGCAGCAGCCAGTAACACTTGGAGAACTTCAACAATCTCAGTTTCAGTACATAAAAATAACTTTTACAAGCACATATTGTGCAATCTATAGAAACTATAAGAATTATCAATCAAGTGACTTCTATTTTTTGGGAGTTGGAGCTATGGTTAGAAAATTGGACCTTTGCATGTTCATCTCTTCCATGCTTCCACAACACACACACACACACCGTATTACTCTATAATTTCTTCAAGGCATATCAATTTTAAGTAAAATCCAGAATATTAGCTGAAATACCAAAATACAAAGTGACTGATCTCACGCTGCAGATGCAAAATCTAATTGAAAACAAACAACAGAAAGATTTTAAAATGAAGACCTTTTGTGTGTATTAGAATGATCATGTACATACTAATTTTGTGCTTTATTATAGCCAATAAAAAGATAAATTATTGACCTACTTATAGCTTCTCGCACTCTAAAGGGGTAAGTCCATGGTAAATTTTTAAATATAAAAGGTGAAGTGCAGGAAACTAAGTTTCAAATGTGAGTACTGCAGCTGATAGAAATCAAAAACTTGCCACAAAAAAAAAATCAAGATTTGAAACAGAAAATTCATGATCTTGGTGCCAACAAGATGACCTCTATGCAACTAAGTCAATACAACTATTCAGCTTGGTTGAGGTAGTTTTCATTCTGGAAAAGCAAGTATGGAACATAAGACTAAGTTCCTAATATGTTTACAACTAACAAATTGTCATCAATTAACCAGATGATAAAAATAAATCAGGACCTGTATCTAACAAAACGGTGCTAATAAGAGAATAGAACTAAGAATTGAGGTAATAGACCACCTTCAATCCCAAAATAACGCAATGATAACAAAAAAGAGAACACATTACAAAATGCAAACACCCGCCGTTTTATAAGAGTAGTCGATCACTAAAAAGAGAAACCCAAGACAACCAAAAAGAAAATAGTTGCAGTTCTCATTTTTCAATCAAACAGCAAGAGTGCATCTCATTACAGTACAAAATGCATTGACAGACTAAGGATCAGAATTTTCATCTGAAACTGCAATTTTGATCAAGCTTTGCAACATTTTAGAAACACAGAGAACTGCAAAAGATCTAGAAACGCGTGGAAATGCTTGGAAATTTAAAGTGAAGTTTACTAACAGTGACTAAAATAATCAATTAACTGATGTTTCAACCTTTTAACATTTTCATGTATGATAACAACATCAATCACTATAGTTTCCAATCTGATCTAAAATTAAAAATACTTGGATACCCAATTGACTTGAGTAAATCAAAAGCCCAACCTGAAGTTACAAAAATCAACCTTTTTCCTCCAGCATATAAACCACAGTCTCCAAATTATGTACACACACATATAGAGGAAAGATAGGAGAGAAAACTGACCACCCATAAAGGCAAAGAGGGCAATCTCTGAGTAACAATGAGCCAAAGCAAGCCCTACCCAACAAGGTTGATGTTTCAAGTTTTAACGTTTTGATGTATGATAACATCAATCACTATAGTTTCCTATCTGATCTAACATTAAAGACACGTAGATACCCAATTGACTTAAGTAAATCAAAAATCCAACTTATGCACACAGTGACACACACACATATACAGGGGAGAGAGAGAGAGAGAGAACTGACCACCCATAAAGGCAAAGAGGGCAATCTCTGAGTAACAATGAGCCAAAGCAAGCCATACCCAAGAAAGTTCTGAACCACACCAATGCACAAAATCACCCAAATAGGTAAAATCTCACACAGACTACCAGCTATGAACCCAATACTGTCCCCCAAATCTTTGGCCACACCCAAAATAGCCACCTCTCTCTGAGTATAACCCATGGTGCTCTTCACCACAGGTGATATGCTCCCAAACAAGTACCCAATCCCGGCAAAGGACTGGACCCACATTGAAGCCACGAACACGAGCCATCTGTTGTTGAAGAAAGCTTTGATTCTGTCCTGTAAATAGCTCATCGCCGCTGATAAGATCAGTGATCAAGAATGGTGATTTTACATGACATGTAGAGATTTTTATGAGAGTTGAGAAGTGGGTTTTTGAGATTGTTGAGAAGGGATTGGAATTTGGAAAGTTGGTGTATGATTATTGATTTGATATTTCAGTCACCTGCCAAATTAGAAATGAGAAACGTAAACGTGTGCTTTGTCCACTTACTCGCTTATCTGTAATATTGCTTCTTAAACTTAAAGACCATTGACACCTGACAGCAACGTTTGATTTTCCATTTTAGTTTAGGAGTACAACTTTGTAACATATTCCAGTTTGTGTAGGAAAGAGAACAAAAGAAAGAGTGGTGAGAAATTGCCTAGGACTTTTAATAGAATCTTATCCATTTAATGACAAATAATTTAAATTTGAAAATGATTACAATAACAAAGCTCAATAATGTACATCTTCCGAAAAAAGAAAGCTGACTCTTTTTGCATGATAGTATTGAGTCTTTTAGAACATTTTATAATTTGGTATTCATAATTCTCACTCCACATTTTATAATTTGTTATGCATGACTCTTGTCCGGAGATAAGTGTTTTCTTTGATTTAGAATTGAAGTTTTGGACCTTTAAAATTTGAGATGAATGCCTTCACCATTAGCCTATTCCTTAAGATTAAAGTTTAATTTTGCGGTAAAGCATAATTTTTCTCCTCCCCACATCACATATAAAAAAAAAAATTATCTATGTATAAATGTAATAAATACATTTTTTTTTTCTCTCTCTATCTTTTTGTTTATATATATTGACAAATAATGCTCTCCTATATTTTTGTTGAGTAATCTTAGATTTGCCGACCTGTTTTTTTTTCTCCTGAAAGGATTTGCCGACTTTGTTTTGCGCTCTAATCACTATATCTAATAAGAATTCTTAGTTAGTAATGAATAAAAATATAATCTCTCATTTTCAAAATGTTTTACTGAATCTTAAACTTTTATCATTTTTTTTTTTTTTTTTTTGTTCCATATGAATCTGAATCTCGATTTTTGTTAGTTTACTCAAAAGAATATGTTTACTGTCAGTGTCGAATCTGGTTTTTTATTATACTGTATCAAAATATATACAGTAAATGATTGTCTCCATTATTAATATTAACCAAACAAGTGTTGGTATTAAAGTTGAAGAGACATTACTAAATGACTAACTAGGTACTGTTGACTATCATTTCCCTTAAAAAAAAAATTCATTTTCCTGTTGAGTAATTTGTCGTTTATATCAGATCTTTGTGGTAGGTAAGGTCAATTATCAATATACAGAACCTTCCAAAAAAAACCAAAAAATGATCAATATACAGTTGTCACGTATGTAGTACTGTAATGGATTTATAGACGTACACAGAGATGTTGGTTATATATAATATATATATATATATATATATATTCACCTGACAATGGTTAGAGTTGGGAGAGTTAGTGAGGGTGAGAAAAATGAAATTTGTACCTAGAATTATAGGGTGGAATATTTACGGTTGGTTTTTTATCACTCTGATGCCATTACCACACCTAATAAATGTTGGTAATTGATTTTGGGAGTAGGATCCTTAACTTAAAATTTCCCAATATTATCTTAAGTTAATTATAAAAATTTTGATATTTGACTTTTATCACATAGCTATGATTCATAATATACCACATCAGCAAATTAAAAATAAAAAATTAAAATTAAAATTGTTTAACTGATGAACAGAGAAAAGTAGTTAACCAATGCTAAAATTTTTTCAACTCTTCTTTTTTTCTGGTCTCTTAGGGTGTGTTTGGTAGGGTTGATTTGGAGGGATATGGAGAGAAAAGAAAAGAGAGGATAGTGTAACTTTGTGTTTGGGTAACTTAAGTGGAGGGATAGGGAGGGATAAGGAGAGATAGGGAGGGATAGCTATCCCTCCTTATCTCTTATTTGCTTTCTCCTCAAAATTGAGAAGATAGGGAGAGATAGTGAGAGAAAGGATAGTGATTTTAGTGGTATTTTGATAATACTAAAATTATCCTCCACAAATCAATAGACAGATTTATTATTCCATTCAAGTCACATGGTTATGAAAGGGTAAAAAAGTAATTTGTCTATTATCCTTTCTTTTCTTTTCTCTCATCTATCTTATCAAAACAAAAATAACTATCACTTAATAGAAATTATTACTATCATTTCTTTTCTTTTCTCACTAATACTATCCTTTCTTTTCTTTTCTTTTCTCTCATTACTAATACTATCCAAACACATATGCCTGAAATTAGTGGGCTCTTCGTTGCTACAAATAATCTTCCACTCTTTTCTCTCTCTAGCTTTATGATCCGTGGGAGGAAATTACAAATCAAAAAAGAATTAAAACAAAGGAAAGACAGTGAAAGGTGAAAGGATCGAAAAATCTAATTGCATGAAAAAATAAAAAATAAGGTGGGTGGTTGGAATCTTAAAGTTGTCTATTGATGTTTAGTTTTTTTTTTTCTCAAAATATTATTGTTTTAAGCCTTTTTATCACTAAATTATGTAGAGTGTTGTCAACCTTAAATTTAGGTAAAATAATACATGTTAAAATCATAACAATTTAATTTAAGATAATGTAGAGAAATTTTAACTTAGAGATTAGATTATGATATTGTTGACAAATTTAGTATAAATCTATCAATTTAGCAATGGACAAATTGCATAAAATTCTTCATGTACCACTCTTAATTAAAAATTTGATATAAAACCTCCCCAAGTAGACTAATTTTATTGGCCTTTCAGCAATTTAAATTTTTTCGAATTTTATTTTATTTTCCCTTATAGCAAAAGTAAATTAGAGAAATAGTGGTTATATTTTTTTACAGTTTACTCTTTGATTAAATTAGAGAAAAATCGTGTTTTAAAAAAAAAAAAAAAAAAAAAACCACCTATATTTTTCAAATTGAGCAAATAAGGATATTTTCTCAATTTGAAATCTAAAATTCCTAAACCTTTTGGTTAATAAAACATTTTGTATGATATAACTAAAGGATAAAAAATTTGGTCAAAATTGACCGCCAACACATATTAGGGAGTAACTTTCACATATTTTTAAGTGTCAGAAATTTATATACGCATACTATATGGGTGATTTTTACACATTTTTTATTATGGCAAGTTTTTTTTTTTTTTTTTTTTTTTTTTTTTTTTTTTTTTTTTCACTTTACTTTTAACCAAATGAAAGAGATCATGACATTTGACACATTTTAACTTTGAAATAGCTCTAAATGATAAATTAAGACACTATATATGTAAAAGAATAAAATTTGTCACAAAAAAAAAGGGCCATTAAAATTAAAGAGACATGAGTGAACATGTAAAGAAAGAAACAAAGATATTTGGTACTTAATAGTTATGGTGTGTTTGGATATCCAAAAATATTAAATTCAAACAGTCTCACTGACCAAATATTGTAAATCAAGGTTAGAAATCTACTAAATTAATTAGAATAAAAAGAGTCACTCAGGCTTGTAGTCTAGTGATCATCACAAGTTTTGTACCATTGTAAGAGTTATTTGCTAAAAAAAAAAAATAATTAAAGTAAATAGTCATTATCTCATACAAGGGGGACCCTTTTATTTATTTATTTGTTAAAAATTCCTTTTTTTAAATATATGTAACCGCCCAAACACACCCAATTGCAACTCCTAATTTTAACCAAATTGTAAATGATGATATATTAATAGAGAAGTCCACTTTTTTTTTTCTTTTTATTATTATTATTATTTAAATAACCACAAAACCAAGACATTGTTTACATAAGAGATTAAAAGACATTATTTACATAAGAGATTAAAATTCTTAGAATATTGTTGACCAAAATGCCACTAAAAACTATAACATCTTAGGAAATACTCTTTTTATTTATTTTTCTTGATTACCAATGAGAGATAATATTTGTACTTTAAATACTAAAGAAATTGCGATTGATCAATTCAAATTTAAGGATGGTCCAAATCACCCTTGACAATCTTTTATTAAGCACAATAATTGGTACTTAAAAATGACAAAATTCTGATTTTATATATATATATATTTCAAAGTTCATATATGGTACGGTGATCATTTTTCAAACCCAACTGCCAATCAACCATGACAACCATTAGTCTACTGGGGTGTCCAAATCCTCTACCCTGATGTTTTAAACTATTTTTTATTCTTTTTGTAAAAATATAAAATAAAAATTATTATTTAATTGGTAAATAAATAAAAAAATAGTTAACAATAATGTAATACAATAACATAAAACGTGCTATAGAAATGTGAATATTATAATGGACATTGCAATTTACTAATCCATTAGATGACATTATTTAACAATAATGTAATACAAGAACAGGAAACGTGCTACAAAATGATAATATTGTAACGGACATTGCAATTTAATTACAATCTCTCTTTTATTGATCCATATTAGTGAATGAACCTTTTTGTATTATTGTCTTTGTTATTTGATTATATTTATACTAAATTTTTTTCAATTCCTAATTTAAAATACCGAATCAATGCTCCCAAATACGACATTAGTCATTTTTCTTCGTACATATATAAACATCATTTTCATTGCCAATTCTGTCACACACATCTTTATATGCATGTGTACGTTCAAAGTAACACCTACGTGTACTATCGAAGTGATTCATGTACAGTGCTTATCTATTTCATGAATGCCTTATCATTAAAAACGCGAAATTCTTTAATTATGTTCAGTTGAATAAAATTTGAGCTTTAAGTAAAAATTAATAGAATTGAAGAAAAATTTAGTTCAATTTTGTGTAATTTTGAACTAAATTTCTCTCTAATTCCAATTACAAAACTCCATTTATGCGGCTGAATATAACCTCCATGATTATTGTTGTCAAAAGAAAAGGGCGGTGGTAATTGTAAAAAAATAAGGAAGAATGTTTCATGGAGTAATTAAATGTTGGGTAAATTACATTGACCTCCTTTATTAAATATTTAACTGAAAAATCTTCTTTATCGTTTCAAAAATAACATTGACGTGTAATTTTGATATGAGTAACTCTGATTTCCCTTGTCATAAAATTCACAGCATGATTCGCTGACATCATTCTTGAAATTTATTTAAAACTCAATTTTACCCTTAGAAAACTTGAAAAAATATTTATGTCCATGTACTGTAATGGTAAATAATACTACGTAATAAAAGTACAATGTGTGTAATTGTCATTTAACACATTCAGGGAAGTCAATACTGATGGAGAAAGATAATGTTTTGTGTTTTTG